TACGAAAACACAGCCCTCGTAGAACAGCCCAGAGTTTAGGCTTGGCTTTGACCTCCGAAACGCCTGCCCTTGCAGCAGAGTTAAACCAGGTGGTCTCTCTCCGCCTTCCAAACATTTTATCTGTGTGACACGGCATTTTCATTTATTTCTCCACCCGGCACCCCTCAGCCATTTCTCTTCAGAGAGAAAGTGAACGCCCTGTTTTGCTTCCCCGTCGGTTTTTAAAATGTGAATGAAGTGAAGCAACGGGCTGGGAGACAGAAACAGAAAAGCGAGCGACCACGGGTGGACGTGATACACGGGCTGATTGCAACCAGGCTCCCCAGCCCAACGAAACAAGAACTCCCTCCCCCAAGGAGATATTTTAAAAGCTAAGAACTTAAGTACAAAGGCTTTTGTGTTTTTATTGACATTGTAAGAAACATTTTTTTTTTTGTTACAAAAGAGCTAAGTGGTTCTGAAAGCAGAAGTACAGTTTATATGTACACAGTGCTACAGACCCTTCAGATCAACCTAAGGCTCGAGAAACATCAGATCATAACTGCAGGTTTATCAAATGAAGACCACTAAGGCCCGTTACAGCCGAACACTATTCCTACCGTACGTAAATGTATTTACACATTTTCTTTTTTTTTTTTTTTAAAAAAACGATTACAAGCTTTAAAAAAAAAAAAAAACTAAAAAAAAAAAATTGGGAAAAAAAAAAACCAACACATTTTTATCTTACACATCTGCAGGACTGACAACAGTAACCGTTCCATAGGAGACATTCCACCAATCCAAGGACACTAACACGTGAATACCAGAGGTTTACAAGACGTTTCGGACACTATTAACAGTGGTATGTGCTATTCGCTGAATGGCGAGTACAGCCTCGTCGGGAAAATTTGGCAACACATCTTGGTCCCTCTCTTTTACAGGATCAACACAAAATAAGGCACATACATTGCGAGAATATAAACACTGGTGTGTTCGGAAGGCCGAGCCGTTGCACAACGGGCGTGGGCGAGCCGACCGGCCATTTCATCAAGGGACTGGGGGGAAGCAATGACTGGAAGCCAGCGAAGCAGCCAGCTCCTTACCGCACGTACCGCCTGGGGCCGTTCTCCGAGGAGCGCAACACCCTCTGCCACCTGGATGTACGGGGCCATCGGACTCGCCAGCAAAGCCCCTCGCTGACTTCTCTGCTAAAAAACCCCCACCTTTCCTCCACCCAGCTGTACCTGACGGATCAACTCTCACTGCCAAATCCCACTTTGTGGAAAGTAAAACCGCCTGGAGAAACAGGCGTGCTTCCCGCAAGGCTGAGCAAGGCAGACGCGCCCAAGGCCAACAGTAACGAAATCTGGAAGACCCTCACAGAGCCATTAGAAGAAAAGACGATTCAGATTCAGGCTGCAATGCTTTAAAAACAGGTAATTCACAACATTTTCTGCATTTTCTAGTACTCTAGGGTGAGCGGTGGGTTTCCAACTGCTATGGCAATGGCAATTGATGGGCTAAACGATAGCCAAAAGCACGCTCCTGGAAGAGCAGGAGTGGAGAGGTGCCAGAACACGTGAGCAACGTCGGTGGGATTTTCCCCAGACTGCCACACATTGAGAAGGAGGTTGGCAAGTGAAAGCTGGCGTCCAGCCTAACACTGCCATGCTCAGAGAGCTCAGCCTACCCTATCAAAGCAAACCCAAGACCCAAGACAGCTGGGCTATGATGTACTGCTACCCTCACAGGTACCAAACAGCTCTTTTACATAAATCTGAAAAAAAAAAAAAGCATGAGAAGATACTAAAAGCGGGAAAGTGACACATCAACCTAAGTGGCACATACACTTCATGGTGAAAATGCTAAACCATTTGCACAAATTCCCTGGGGACACGGGGTGGTATCTCTGGTTCTTCAACTTCACCAAATCAAAAGGGGATGCCTTTCTGGAGCGTGTGGCCTCGGCCAAGACACATTGTTGGCCCAAGACGGGGGTAAGCGAGTCCCAAAGGTTTGTCAAATCCAGGAAGGCAAATTAGCTACTCAAGCTGTCCGTTTCAGCCTTGAGCAATATGAATGGCTCCTTCTAAGCTCTGATGGATCACATCTGTTAACAGCTTCCCAGCTTCAACTGGACCAGCAAATACAATTATGAACTGGAAAACTGAGTTTAAAAAATTGGGTTTTTCTTAGTGTATTGGCTCTATAACAATAAAAGGTTTCTCTCCCAAGCCACCTACTCCCAAACTGGTCATAAGTCTCCCTGTTGAAGTTGTTTATAAACAAGCAATTGATGGCTTAATAAACAGCCAGCAATTGGTTACCGAGAACCATCTGAAACAGGTCCAGCACAGCCTTTCCTCATGCAGACGCTGCCGTCTCTCCGCAGGGCTGTGAGCTGTATCATAGCACTGCAACGTACAGCGTGGCCATCGAAGCATCCCCAATGCCTCGGTGACCACCCGGCCGGAGGGTCCCTCCCTGTCCCGGCAGCAGGGCAGGGGCGAGGGCTGTGTACAGGCAGCAGGTCTCTACAAGAGTCCGGTTTTAGCCAAACCAGGACAAGCGGGCTGCCTCCGGGCGATGAGAGCACATCAGGGAACAGCCTCGCCACGTTGCAAAGGCAAACCAACCGTTTGCCGTGGTGAGCTGTGCCCGATTCCCCATGCAGCCCAGGGACCGTGGGAAGAGGGCTCTGAGGGTCATGGGCAGGGAGGTCGGGAGGGGAACCGGGAACAGGCAAAGAGCAGCATGGGGCAATACGCGTGCATGAGAGAGAGGAAGGAAGCAATGCGTCCTAAAGATACGGAGAAAGACAGGAGCCGGACGATGATAAAAGTTGTAGGATATTTACATTTGTCTTGACTTCTGACGTTCCAGCTCACAGTGCAAATCACTTGGTACGTGCTGTGATAAACCCAAATATGGCCCCAGCACCAGACTCCTATGATGTTTTCCTGCCGATTTACAGCTTCTTCCTCTAACAGCTGTTAATAGATCGATGTTATCCATCAGCTTCACTGAGGTTGTATTCCTACACATTCCTCAAATGCCACACCCTGAATCAGCTGGTATTGGACCTTTTTTTTACAGTCAAAAAAATGCCTGCTACGGCCTTCTAGCCTACAGAAATCACCTTCTGGTGCTACTCCTAATTTTGACGGCATTGTACGGCTACTGTAACACCAGCTCCTGACAGACATCAAATCCACAACGGTAAGTGCCTGCACCATGTACATCCCATAGGAGCATTTTACTATCGGGATTCAACTGAGAAGTCTACGAGGGCTGGACTTGCATGCAGCTTCTAGGAGTGGGTGAACTTAAACCTTGGCCTTGTAGCTGTTCTCCACCCCAGCCTGTTTACCCAGGAGCGCTGTGTGTTCAGGGGCGCAGGCACGGAGCCCAGTCCAGCAAAAAACACGCTAGAAGAGCTAGCGCTTACGGAGCAAACGCCATTCACCTCTACCAGTGAGCAGCTTCACGACCACTGTGCGTTAGTTCCCATTTTTGCTGAGCCTGGGCATTATCCCACTGGTTTGCTTTGAAATGAAATGCACGTTGGTGTGACCAAACGAGAGAGGCTGGGCTGGTCTTTTTGAGTTTTGTTTAGTTACCAGACATACTTGCTGTTCCATTTGCTTCTTTGCTATTTTTAATGGCAGTTTATATTTCTTGATTTTGTAAAGCCTGGACACAGTGGAAAAACTTTAAGATTATCAGATTCCTTGCAATCACTTTGATTTATTTGGCTAGTCTGAGAACTGGGCCATTCGTTTTCTACTTGTTTTACATGCCATGACCATGATGCTTTTGAAGCCGTAACTGCATGCTACGTCAATGGGCATTTACTTATTTTAAAACATATGATCCATCCATGAAGCTGTATGTGCTAAAAGGGATGTACAAGACAGTTCTCCCAGCAAAGGAATTGTTACTGCAAATAAGAACCAGTGGCTCAGCAAATTACATCTCAACAATTTGCATTAAAAAAAAAAAAAAAAGTCCCCAGTATGGAATACTGCAATTTTGTTATTTCGTTGTATGACATACTCAGTGAGACCCTGATCGTCTCTCCACAAATGTGGTACGCAATGAAGGGATTACAGACTACCCAAATCACCAAACAAGCCCATAATTTTACTATCCAGTCATTTAAAAAAGGCAGCTGAAAAACAGAATAACAAATACTGCAAAAGATGAGAGTTGGACTAAGAACAGTTCTCTGGTCCTCTCCTTCCTCTGAAATGGATTAAACATGACACAATCTCAGTACCATTATGCGAGGCAGTGACAGCTATCCGCGTGTGTGTTTACAGAAACCTTAAAACACTCGCTAAGGATCAAAGGGCTGACGGTTTTACATTCCTTATTTGCTTGAACCTCCTAATTTCTTGTGCTCCGTAACTCTGAAACTACAGCCTAGGGGTACCATGGCAGTGCATTTCTGAACTGGTTGTCCTCCTCAGTGTGATGTATCCAATGCATCCAGAGTGAATTGTATCACTGTATACTCACTTCACATTGTGACTGGTTGTTCTGTGCCTATAGGTTTAGGGGGAAAAGTTGCAATCGTTTTACAAAGTCTAGTTTCTTTTGAGTAACAGAAAATTGTAAAGTCATTTCATCAGGCCTTTCTTTAAAAAAAACCAAACAAACAAAACAAATAAAACAAAAACATGCACTTCACACGTTTACATTGGTTGACAATTAAAAAAAAAAAAAAGGAAGCATACAGACATTCAAAAAGGGGGGAGAGAGAGAAAGAGAGAGAGGGGGGAATGGGCGTAGCAATACTGATTCAAAACTGAAATGGAAGACAGTTTCTCCCTAGAACACTTTAGGGTTTTCAGAGTCCTTATTCCATAAAAGGAATATACTTGAAACACATCCCATTTAGGTGAGATGAGATTGCTAAAATACATACACAACTAAAAAATATGAGTCTTTTTTTTTTCCATCTGTTATCTCCTAAGGGTTTTTTGTCGTTTGCTTTTTGTTTTTGTTTTTTTTTTTTAATGTCTATTGCATAACAGCAAGAAACTTGCTTTCTTCTGCAAGTGAGGTCAACAAAGAGCTCATGTCCCCAATAGCCATGTTGGTTGTGCTTACGGGCATAGCTGGGAATGTAAGAGACGCTCGGGGAGTGGTGAGGCGTGAGGAATTGCGGGAGAGATTCTGAATGATACTTGGGCTCAGGGCTCCTGAAATTAAGCTGACATGGTCCCCATCATCTATGATAGCATCGAAATCAATCTGCACACCCTCTAGGCTGTTGCTGTCAATGCTGTCAACTGTGCTCGACACTTGGTTGGCCCCCGGGGAAAGAAGCTCGGATGAGTTTGCAGTCGCAGTCCCCTGCAGCAGGCAGTTAGCTTCCGAACCAAAGAAAGAACCTGTTTTCATAGCTTGGTGGCTAAAGCCCGTGGTTTGGTCATACAACTGACCAGAGTAATTCTGCACGTTAGAGCAGAACTGCTGTGATTGACCTTGCATCTCCATCTTAATGGTGTTTACCCTGTACGTCTGGTTGCCATCACTTATGTGTCCTTGCTGTTGTGCCAGGTTGTTTCTCAACACGTTTTGCCGTCTGTTGCTGCTGTAATTAGAGCACGGCTGGTAACTTTTGGCCACCAACAAACCTGAAGGCTGGCTACCAATGGTGTGAGACACTGGTGGACAACTCTGCAGCCCTTGATACAGGCTGCTTTGTGAGGTAGGACTAACCTGCCCTAGCATCATTTGACCGGATTGACTGACTCCCTGGTAATGAACGGCGTCTCCGACTGGTTGGCTTTGCAAATATTCCTGTTCCATCATATTCCTGTTCTGCATTCCATTTGCCATACTGGTGGCTTGATCGCTGGATGCCAGGGGATGGCTGAAATTTTGCTGGTTCCCACTCACTGGCACGTTGCTGTTTCGCAGCTTCTGCCCTTGAACTGCCACGCCACAGGAATTGTCCATTGCCCCAGACATCATTGCTGGCCTTCCGATGCTTTCGCTGTAAGGTTTATTGGGCTGCACGCTGAAAGAATTACCGGCTCCGCTGCCAAGAATGGTGTTTTGCTGTAAACCATAGGAACCGTTGTTCTCCACCAGGTTCTGATAGCCGTTCTGCTGGGCCACGTTGCTTCTCTCCAGGTTCATGTTATTATACAGTCCAAAGGCTCGAGTCTGCTGCACTGCTGAGCGCTGACCGCATTTCAGTTTTGAAGGAGATAAGTCAGAACTTCCTGAGCTTACTTCGTTCCACTGAATGGGCAAGTCGCTCTTGTTTGCCTCGGAGCCTGCCTGCTGACTGCTCGGTGGAGGGGCTTGGTCAAAGTTGCTGGGGTTGTTGTTTCCTAACACTGAGCTGTGATGCATTTTGTTGCTGTCTAGGACATTGTTCAACAAGTGGTCGTACATGCCCTGGTTCTGGGAATTCAGATACTGAACCACGTCATCTGGCAGGAGATCCTCATCATTCAGACTGCCACTCGCTTCCATCGTAGCAGCCTCCAGGGCGACGTTCTCGCTGATGCTTGGAGGACAGGGAGAGCTGAAGCCGCGGAAGGCGCCACCCTCAGAACGGGTGTAGTTCTGAAGAACAAGGTTGCGCTTTTCCATGGATGGAGGCAAAGCAGGAGGGTTAAAGCTATTAAGACTGTTGAAACGCTGGACTCTAGGGACAGAGAGGTTGTCGGAGGCCATTCTTACTGGATCACTGGCTCTCCTCGTCCCGTTTCCTAGAGCATCGTGAGACAGAAAATGCCTCCTGCTGTAACCATTTGCCCCACCGTCACTACATCTTCGAGGGGCATTCACTGGAGGCAGTGGAGATACTCCGGACTCCCTGCAGTCACCCAAGAGTGCCATCCTTGTTTTGAGGCTCATCCTCTCCATGTTAGGCAGTGGAGTTGGTGGGGGTCCACCAGTAGCTGCTGCGTATTTAGCTTTCAGCCTGTATTGCTGGGCCGGGGTGAGGCTGAGAAGACTTGGCAGGTCATCACACTGGCTCGCTTCACTGGAGCGCCGGGAGGCATCCGTCGAGATGGGGTCATAGGAGTCTGCAACACTCACGTTCTGCGGTCTTCCCTCTGCCTGGGAGGCATCGCTGGACCTCCGGCTGGAGAAGCAAGGTGAGATTCCAGAGGACCTACGGCTGCTCAAGTAGGCTGAACTGATTGTGCTGGTATTGCTGTCCCTCCTGTTCAGCATGTTCAACACAGTGATGTCCGTACTTGAAAGGTCGTTCCTGTTCGGGAGAATAGTCATGGATCCTCCTACACTGCAGCTGCTGTTCGACTGGGTACCTGGAGGTAAAATTCACAGGTGAACAAATGAGCATCACGCAGAAACTGGTACAGAAAACACCCAGTAAAAAAGTACGGGGAGCACAGAGGAGGAGCCTGCATCATCACAGCAAATCACAGCAGTGCTCTTTCTTGAAAGAAGTAGGGATAAAAAAAACTGTGTCCTTAGGTTAAAAGCTAATTCAGAGACTCGAGGGTAACATTTCAGTGTGCATCCCAGCACAAAATTTATAGGCCATAGCCACAAACTGTCATCAGCTGGTGTAGCGCTCCAGCCTGCAGTGCAGCTATGCTGACTGATGTGCCAGAAGGACACATTTGTAAGGGCGCTTTTTATAGGCAAAATATAATTGAACAGGCATTTGCATGGAATGGCAAAAATATACAAATTGGAGGCTATTCAAGGTCATTTCTAAGACTTCTTGAAATATTCTTGAAATAACTCCTAACAACTGCAAAACATCTTTGCTGGTTTCCTTGTTTTGTTTTGGTTTTAAGTAAACAGAATACATTTCTTAATTTTACATAGTTTCTTTCGATTGAACGGGTTTCAGAAAACCTGGGCTGTCACTGCTGGGTGGAGTGCAGAAACCTACGGGCATGGCCGTAGGGAATGTAGAGGCAGCAGGGATATACATTTTGGCAAGGAGCAGCTCCTTGTACAAAAACAACTACGGATCTTCAGAGTTCAGTCTCGCCTTGCTCCCATTCATGAATATCTGCCCTTTGTAGCAGTAGTATCTGTACATACGATTACTTGTATGTGTGGAAGTATCTAAAGGGCAGCCCAGCACATCTATGCAAAGGGTGCCTTGCTAAGGCCTCGTCTGAAAGACTGCCATACAATAAAGTGGCAGGTACTTATTTTATCTGCCTTGCCTCAAAACAAGACAGGATTATGATGATCTTGACTCCAAACCTTTAACTGTAGGGAATATTTAAAATATGATGCATGGCTCCCTTGCTGGCCCTTGTTCTGTAAAACATGGGACTATCAGACTTCTCTCAGAGCGGTTAGTAGGACTCGTAATGAGGGGAGAAACAGAAAATGATCGATTTACGAACCGTTCTCACAGCTGCTGAGTTTCACAAGCTGCGCTACTCTTTTGCAAGGGTTGCAAGACTGAGCTAGCAAGCAATGCATTTAAGGACAAAAGCGTTACCACTCCTGTTATGTGTTATCTCACCATTTCCTATGAGAGGCGGCAAGGCCGGGGCTTTGGAAGGTGGAACGGGGTTCAGTCTTGGAAGCATCCCATTAACTTGTTTCAACCTTTCTAATTTCACTTGCTCCATCCATTTGGTCCCTGTCATATTCCTCCTGGCCTGTAAGCCAAGTGCTGTGGTGGCTGTGGAAATGGTAGAGTCCATGATTGGGGTTTCATCGATGACGCTGAGGTCTCCTACACTACCACCACCGGTCAGAGTAAGCTCGATCCCATTGTTGGAATAGTTGCTGATGGGGGACTGTTCGCTGCTGCATGTAGACTGACCACCAGGGCTTGGCTGAGATGTCTGTTGGAGTCAAGTAAGAAACAAAAGAACGTGAGGATTGAGCAAACAGTGGTAACAAGAGAGTTTGCAGCAAAGGCGGGTCAAAATGGAGCCAAAGAAAACCACGTGTAAAGAAAAGTTTAGCGTCAAATGATAACAGTGATCATTCATTAAGAGGCTTTCTAAATATTAACGGCAGTGAATGCCATTGCAAAACTCGAGATTAAAATCCACTTTAATATCATGCTGATAATATACATTATATCTACATGAGACATTTATTTCAGTTATTCCCATAATTGCTTCTATCACTTCATGTCACCCGTGAGCGCGTATGTATGGACACTCTACTTTGGGTACGCGCTGTTCCCAATTGAAGCTGCAGCTCAATAAACCAAATCAGAATTCAGCCGTGTTACGAGGTCTAATTTACACTGCTAGGCTTGCAGCAAAGCAAGCAAACAAACAAACAAGACTACAACAACACTGGAATTTGGAATTCAAAAACCCTAGACTTGTGGCTAAAGAATGTAAGTATTTTCCAAGCTTAAGGCTCATTGTTACGAGCAGCAGTTGGCCTGAAATGTTGGCGTGTAATAAAAGAGGGACAAAGCATCAGTGCAAAAAATATTGTATCATATTATCAGCGTCCCGTGACCCTAGCAGCACCAGGCTCTAACTTATACCTCCCCTTATACCTAACTTAAACAACCTCTGCCCTCAGTCAAGGCGGCGATGATCTACTGAATCAAATCCTTGGTTTCATTAGAATTGAAGATTTTAAATTTAAGAATTTAAGTACACAGTACAGGCTGCTAATCTACAGGGATATAAACCCGCCGCAATAGCTTGTTTCTTTCTTAACAATGTTCCCTGCTGCTCTGGCAGAATTCTTGCTGTGGGGAAACATGGGCTTGATTTATTTTTTATACTCATAAAGTTCTCATAAAAGAATGGGAAAATTTCTCTGACAAACTGAAACACTCAGACAGATAGACTGACAGACAAAACAGATAGCAAGACAGACAGAAGGCTCTGAACGTAGGTTGTATCAGTGTGACCACAAATCAGCGGGGCATGCAGTATCATTTTGCTCCCAAGAACAGTTTCATGTAAGCATTTACCTTCTGAGGTTTCTGCTGTGTTTTTTACATTTTTTTCTGCCAGCCCGTGATTTTTATGCACATTTTACAGACAAATGCTAACTAGAATTTCTGAGGCAGCAGTGATGGCTCTCACTTTTAACATCAGTGAATGAAGACACACGTTGATGGCACTACTGCAGCTTCATATGCCCCTGAGGAGTCCATTAAGATGCAATAACTATTTTACTATTTCTAACTTGAACGATGGTACTTAGAATTTATGAGGCCGCACTGAGCAAGTTCACTTCCAAACCCTGGCCATGGCTGATTTGGTGATAAGACTAGAAATAACAGTTATTATACAGAAGACAGTTTGTGCTTCTGGACAACAGCTCCAAGCCATATGGAAGGACAGTAATAACGGTCAGAAGCCTGTTCTTGTAGCCACGTGTCAAGATCACAGTGAGGCAGGTTACAGATATAAGAACCGTATGATGGGGGAACATATATTTCTAGATGTGTAATACAGAAAAACATGGATGTCTCATCTAGAGAGGAAGGTACAAAGACATTTCTGAAGACATTTCACCAATACAAGCCAGATTTTTCACACGTCAAGTGTTGCAAAATGCTCACAGCACGTTACATCTGGGAATGAGTGTGATGGATTGCACATTACTAAATAAAGGAATGATTGGAAAACAGGCAGAAGGCTAAAATAAAGACATAAATAATGTTGCAATAAGAAAAACAGCAGAAAAATTAAAATGCCCTCACCTTATTACCCACTGTCCTTAGGAAGTTAGAACAAGACATTTAAGAGCATTAGACAGAAAAGACATTGGATTAGTCGAAAAACAGAAAATGTATCTTAATTCATACAAGCAATGAAAAGCAGGAAATACAGAATTGTTTTTAGAAGATATTTTTCAGCGAGAAATATTTAAGACTACGTAAGCCATCAGCATTAACATCCCTCTCCTGCAAATTTTATTCATGTTAAAACTGTCTACGTTCAACCTGCCTCAATAATGCCACAGATGTACCTAGTTAAGCAAGAGGGGAATGGGTTCTGTTCCTTTGTAATCTAAGGTCATTATCACCAAAGATGGCAGAGGATCTCCTTTAGACTTCAGCGGGAGTTAACTCTGGGCCCTTGGAACTTTCTGAATTCAGGACTAATACGCCACAGTTTGGGCATAAGCCTTAGGCACAATATAGCAGTAACTCATATTTCAATGAGTAATTGCTTTGAATTACAGTATGATTAACAATATGAGCGGAATTTGGAGGGCTCACATATGTAGTCTCCAAGGGTCAGGTCCAGATGAATTGGAGACCCAGATGTGGAAGAGGATGGAGTGACTGCCTTTGCTAGTTTTAACTCTTGTGGAGAGGATCGATGGCACACGAAATGCAGCCAAATGAAAGAACTTCCTTATTTAAGACAGCATATCAAAAAAATAGAGTAAGGTCCTTTCAGTGTTCAAGGCTATACTGGTTTAATGCAATACATTAAGGTAAACCAGTGAAAAGACCTGTGGAGACTCTTAATTCAGCTCAATTTAGTTAAACTGGAATTAGGTCAACTTGGTCAAGTTAAATGAAGTATCAGATTAACATAAGAGATCACATCACAATAGAGATCAAATGTTATCAAAAGATCTCCTCCTGCTGTCTAAGAAAGTCAATTCATCCTGCTTCAGTTTGATCCACAACCCGACAACCTCAAGCCCCTAAAATCTGATTGTTTCCCCAGGTTCTCCAAAAATTATCATCATCAATATCATCATTATAGTCTTTTGGATTTTGGTTTATTTTGCATTCTGGTTTTGAGCCCGCAGGATTCACATTCTTCAACTTTCTTCAATAAACAGGAGAGTGGAAAAAAAATTGCCTTTTTAAAAATGAAAACTGTGATGCTCTCATAATATGCTGATTCCAAAAGATGGAGCTTTAAGAGAAACAATTATTGTGAGAGTTGCCAACACCGCACTTACTGCATATTGCACAGACTAGATGTAATCTTCTTATTCGCTATTTCTTCAGCTTTAAAAACATCTTACAATGTAAACAAAAAAGAAAACATGGCAAAACCTAACCTTGTGAGCTAGAGTTTACGGGCATGAGCATTTCATAAAGGGATTAGTAACTGGGTGCAAGGAGAAAAGAGGACAAAGGGAGCGGCACGGTGTATTGCATACCATTGGTTTCTCCGACTTGACCGCTTTCACTTGGAGGCATTCTTCGCGCTTTGAGGTAGTGTTGCTGAGGTCCTTCTGCTCACCAATTGCACCCTGAGTCTGATGGCCTGGTGACCGGGTCTGAGAGTGGCTGCCCGGGTCTCTCGGTGGCGGAGGCCTTGGGTGGATATCTCCCCGCTGCTTCTTGGTGACATGTGCCTCCGGGCCATGCACGGTCTTCACATGTTTCCGGAGAGAACTGGGGTCTGTGTAGCGCTTTGTGCAGCCCGGTATCTTGCAAACATACGGTTTCTGTCAAGGCAGGAAAAACACTTAAATTAGATTTAATTCCATGTGGAACTCCTGAAGAGCTCCTTGGAGCACAGCTGGTGTTACAATTACATGTTTTCACAGTGAATTTGTTATCTAATTTATGGCCTCTACAGTGACTGAATCATAGAATCACAAAATGGTTTGGTTGGAAGGGACCTTGAAGATCGCTTAGTTCCAACCCCCTGCCCTGGGCAGGGACACCTTCCACCAGACCAGGTTGCTCACAGCCCCATCCAACCTGGCCTTGAACACTTCCAGGGATGGGGCAGCCACAGCTTCTCTAGGCAACCCATGCCACTGCCTCGCCACCCTCACCGGGAAGAATTTCTTCCTAATATCTCATCTAAATCTTCCCTCTTCCACTTTAGAGCCATTGCCCCATGTCCTATCAAGTTGTGACTGCACCCAGTCAAAGCTATTAATTCCCTTGCATTTTGAAGGCACCCATTAATGCTGCAGAGTTTACAGAGGGCAAGTCCTCTCATGACACGAACTGGCACAGCTCTGACTTATCATAGCAGAAGAGTCAAAAGAGCTGTGCCAAATTTGTGAAGACTGGCCTAATTTTCTGTCCTGTCCATTGCCCTCAGCAGTTTGATACCCTGTTTCTAGTATGCCCAGTACCTACTTCTTGACATTCAGAGGCAAACAACCCCCTTCAAATCATGCTGGGACATTTGTTCAGGCAGGATTATCTGAGAAAGCAGTTTTTTCCCGGCTCCTTCAGATCACCAGTACAATGTCAAAGCACAGGATACAGTACCATTTTCACGTTGCGGCAATATATGCACTAGTACTATCAGTGCTACTAGCATAACTAATCACTCATTTTTTTTAAAACCCGCTTCCTTTATCTGTGAATTTCTCTAGTTCACTAGGCAATGTAGAATAAAGCAAATTTACTGTCTCACAATTTAACAAAGATTTTGTTTTGTGTTATGAGAGGATTAGAAAGAAGAGTTGAGCCCTTCCTAAACACTTTAATTGCCTCAGGAAACAAGGTATCATTCACTCACTTTTATTACTGAATTGTTTCCAAGAAACTACTGTTTTCAAGTCTTACTTATACTACCGCTCAAGAGAAAAAAAGAGACCCTCATGCAGAGTTCCTCAAAGGGGTTCTCTGTCTGCTTACAGATGGCACTGGGGAGCCTTTGACAAAAGCAGCTTCTTCACGGCTGTCCAAGGTCTGAGCTGGCTTCCACTTGACTTGAACAGGAGTAAAAATGTCAATGATGAGCAATTAAAAGTTGATGTTGAGCTACTGAGGCAGGTTTCCTCAAGATGCTAAAGAAGTTCGATTCAGTTAGCTCTCTTCTACACGTGTAAGGCATATATCTACATCAAGCTATGTCAGCTGCTTTTAAATCTGTCTATAGGTTACCTACTTACAACCAAAACGGCACTGCAAGGAAGTGCTGAATTGGGTCTGCGCTTTCCAGAGTATTCACGGCACTCCATCAGTACACACTGCCGAAGAACATCAGCCTGTTTCATTGTGAAATGATGGTGAAGGAAATTTTTCATTTGCCCTTGCTGCTGCACCTACCAGAAATGATGCGCAGCAGAAAATTTTGCTTGGTGCCTTACTGTAAGACATGAAATCCTGATCTTAAAACACAGGCGGTATGGGTCACGTCTTTTAAGTCTGAGAGGATCGTACTCATCAACAACTAGGCGACACACAGATTGGTTCAGACAGTGAATGAAGAGAAAGAAGTTGGGGAACTTCCTTCTGCTTTGGTGACAACTCACAAAACTGCTGCCGGGCTTCAGTGTTAGTTGAGCTGCCGAGAGCACACGCTGCAGGGACGGGGTGAACTGAGAGATGGGCAACGCTCTCTGCATCCCTTGTGACTCAAGAGCCGTTGCAGGGACAAGGGGACTGGAAGACAAATGCTCCCAGGAGATCCTGCCAGCCCTAGTGAATGCCTGTGACAGACCCGACAGACAGCTAGAGAAGGATATAAGCCTTATGGAAATGGGTATAGCTGCTACGGCTTCCACAGCACACAGTCACCGTGCTGGTATGCTCTGCCCTTCCTGTACTTCCAGGTCTAAGCTAGAGGTGAAGGAGTATAGGGACAGGCCAAGGAGGAGAGAGTGGGCTCCAAGATGTGTGACTGAGATGATGTGACTCCCTCTGTAACCTGAAATGGGGCAATAGAACAGGGACAAGGCGTGAAGATGGTGTGATTCCTGAAAGAGGGGGCAGCAGTAACAGGAAACACACAACAATGAAGAGATGTTACGCTGAGAGTTTGGGAGACGGCTGTGACTGCCACGGCTTGTTTGCTTGAGAAAGAACAAATTCCCTCCGCTGCATCCCTATTCCATGAAGTCTGTTCGGGATGGAAAGAAAGAGTGAAATAGCCCAGAGAAGAATGAAAAGGCATAACTCAGAACTTAATAGGGTAACCCAGATTTTCCAGACCCTGAACATTTCCCCATAGCTGTTCCCCGCAGCCAAAAAGGAGGCTGCCAGATGCGGTGGGAGCCGGGGCTCGGCAGCTGCCAGGTGTCACCACCGATCCAGGCAAGGGCACCCAAGGCTCCAGTCCCTGGAGGAGCCCTCCAGCTCCGGAGGAAGAAACGATCCCACCTTTTCAGGGAAATCCAAGGATCTGTCCCTGGTTAACGCGTGTGTTTCCATTAGACCTCTCCTTCAAACCTCTCTTGCACTTAATAAAACGACCTGCAGCCTCTCTAGGTCCGTATGACACGGGAATGATTGTGCTGGTAAGAGCCATCTAGAACTTACAGTCCTTCCAGGTTGCTGAGGGTTTTTTCTGCCGGTCCTCTGTAATAAATTGCTATGATCACACTGCAAGTCTGTTCGACGCCGAATGTTATTATTTTTTTGAAGCTGTGCTTACTTACCTCATTGGAATGAGTCCTGTTTTGGTGCTTGGCCCTGTCGGACGCGTTGGAGAAAGCTTTGTTGCAGCCTTCATGTTCGCACACATATGGTTTCTCTCCAGTGTGAGATCTCAAGTGCGTTTTCAAGTTTTCTAGTCTGGAGTAGGCCTTTGTACAACCTTCAAACTGCAGACAACAAGTAAGTCTGGATTAATTTCAATCTTTGGCCTTGCAGGAAACGGTAAAAGCTGACCTATAAAAGTTTAGAAACTTTCCAAGTCTTCATAACCTTGCCCAATGTAATTTTGTTTTGATTTGTTGGATTTTAATTTTACCCAGGCAAATCCCACCACACGTCAAGTTAAAATGCTTCCAGCATTATGTAAATCTTCTCTTACAGGAGAGCACAGTATTTGTGTACTTCGTCTAAGACAGAAATCCACTGCAAAGTCATGAGGAGGCTGGTGGCCAGCAATAATACCCAGCTCTGTAAGAGAAAGTGCTTTTAAATAATTAAGCAAACTGAGCCCTGTTTAATGGTGCCTTTTGGGGCTTCTCTGCACTTTAAACTTGAGGAAGCGGGCCAAATTATCCAGTGAATACCCTCTGCTAAAGCTCTTCATCATCTGGAGGAGTTGAATAACGAAGCAGACATGGTAGTCTCTTCTCCAGCAAACGTCTGAGAGACAAGAGATCAGGGAATGCAGCATCTGCGCCGCTCTGTTCCCTGCACAGCCCCAGCTCCCCGGTCCGATCCTGGAGCTCAGCCCCCTTTACTCACAGTGCATTTGTGTGGCTTTTCCCCTGTATGTCTCCTCATGTGGACCACCAGCATATACTGGGCTTTGAATGGTTTCTGCTCCCGGGAACAGTCCAGCCATCGGCACACAAACTCTTTCTTCTCGCCATGTATATGGTCATTGTTTATATGCTGTTGGGGTAGAAGAGAGATTACAGAAACGTGACATCATCATCAGCCTTACCGTAACTTCCCACTGGAACAGCACCGGTGGCTCAGGTGTGAACCAGGATCCTGCGGTACTAAAAAAGTAAGAAGTCTGCGCTCCAAAGCAATCACAGAGTTCAAATTATAGATCTCACTGGAAGTTCACTAAGGCCCAGCAATTTGTTTCTACCAACGTCAACAGGCTTTGGGTCAGGCCTGAGGGATACAGGCTGTTAAACGGGATCCCGGATTATCTCACGCACGGCACCACTTGCCTGATTCACACTGAGTAACGCTTTCTGGGATCAGGGAAGCCTTAAGTCCCACTCAACACAAACAAGGTTTACAAAATCAGGTTTTTAAAAACATGTCCTCCAACCTGAAAAATCAACAGAACTGCTAAACCAAGCTTCCACCAAAACTTTTAACTCACTCCCCACTACCCATATTTTCTTTCAGTAAATGTATTGGGTGAGGGTACTCGTTGTGGCGGGGGAAACAACACCCCACGCACTGCAGTCACAAAAACCTCCGAGCACCGAAGCATCCGTCAAGCCAGCTTTTGCCATTGCCAAGCACGGCTCTGCCCGAGAGTCTCGGGGAGCGACTCCTGCCCAGGCCCGCTGAGACGCACGCACGGAAGGGTCTTGCTGCGGTCGGTGTCGTCTGCAGGGGCATGTCCAGAGACAGGCTGGGGCTCTGTACCTTCTACTTTTCCAGAAAAGTAGCTTGCTTTGTTTCCCTCACTAAGATCCAGTTCAGCAGAACATTTAAATACGGATTTAATTCTCGCTGATAGTGTTTCTGAGCAGAAACGGGCAGATGAATTGAGGCCAGTCTCAAGACCGGCTTGTTTTTTCAACTGTTTGGATTTTTTGCGCAGCTTCAGAAAACAACCAAAGCGCCCTACACCTGGGCTTTCAAAGGTTTATGAAGGCTGGAATTTCAACAGGAGCTCCCTGACTCATCCTCCTGGACTCTCTTGGAGAAGGGACCTCCCGACCGCTGTCCTTCCTCCCACAGCTCGCTAGCTGTGCCACTAGATGGCTGCATTTCTCAGCAAATGCGATTATTTCCATTAAGGCGCTAGACAAAATCCTTCCAGAGGTTGTATTTGATCACAGTACAGGGATGAAATCTGTATCTACTCCGTAAGTAGCTCACAGAAAAAGCCAGCCGTACAGAAACTCAGTAGTTCATACTGGAACACAGAGAAGATAATCCTGATCTTTTCTGAAGTCCTGAAAACAATCAGAAAACCAAACAAAATCGCTTATGTTCACAATTATGCGGCATCACCATGGCAAACAGATGTGCGCTGCCTATAAAAGACGACTGCTCTTTTTCTCTTTCCGAAACTTCGTTGCCATTTCTTCAAAGTTGTGATGGGGCGCAGAGCGCAGGAACGGAGCAGATGTGCTGGACAACGTACAACATGTTACCTGCAGGAGTTTAGGTCTGAAGTGCAGATCCCTCGTCATTCATACTACAGACGCCGGTACCAACAGCGTACAGATGCCCTGCGCCGTGAAGCGGCACTGAAGAGTACGACGAGGTTAATATGCACTCTTTGTTCTTGAAAGAGAAAGAAGTAACGGGACAAAACTTAACGCATTCAAGCAACCCTTGGCCAAATCCTTCTGTAAACATTACAGACTGCGAATTATTTGGCAAAACCTACACGGCCACGAGGGAAATGAAAACTGAGTGTGTGACACAGGCTTTCCATTTGATACAAAAACTTCAAGGCTGGTTCCATCAGTTCACAACAGCCCCTCCCTTCACCTCCCACTGCGTGGACACTCAGGCACCACGGACGCTCGCTCTTTCAGAGAAATTCTCCACAGGACATTTTTTCTCTTTGTCCTTGCAAATGCGCTTGCTCCTTGCCCTCCAGCCTTTATCAGCGTGAGCATCCTCTAAAACTGGCCTTTCTCATGGGTGTAAAACTCCCTTCCTCACTCCCTCCCCAGCCCAGGCTCACTGCAGCGGTGGACACAGCTTGCCCAGGATGGTGACTTGATCGTTTGCCTCTCTCCATCACTCCTCTGGCTCACCTCTCAAATATCTTGTGGTCACTGCACAACTGTGTCCCTCCACGCTCATCTGCCCCGCTCTCTTATCCTGTCACCCCTCTCCCACTCCCTCTGCTCTTCCTACAATCTAACCCCTCTTTGTGCCGTTTTCCCTCATTGCTCCGATGCTCCAAGTGGCTCCTGAGAGCTTCCCTGCAAAGCCATCTCATTCTCATTCAACCCCTCCGAGGATCCCCACCTTCAGGTAAAGCCTAGAAGAAATGAGCCCATGCCATCACCTGCTAATTTGGGTAATTTCTTTCTATCTCAGGTGAGCTGCTCAATTGCTTTTTGCAGACGAGTGATATTTTAGCAGACCTATAAATGTGTCCAAATACTGGAAGAAGACACTTGCTAGACATTAAATCAGCACGAGGAAGAGACCAACAGCAGAAACCTGCCGTGCTCTCAAGTAAGGAGGTGCACAGCATCTGTAATCCTGACCACGTAGGGCCAGATTCAAACGTCCTCACCCGCTCAAGCTGTGATTTGAAAACCGATCAGTCATTTGCTACGGACACTTCGGCAGAACTATACAAATACAAAACGGGAACGAAATCTACACTGGGATTTTTTTATCATTACCATTTGGCAGAAACAAGGCGCAGTATTTAGAACGTGTTTAAAGGAAGAGGGAGGTCTCGCAGCGCAAACAACGGCAATTAGAAAAGTTCAGGAGTTTGTGAACTCTGGCATTCGGGTTCTTTGACTCAGATAATTACCTTTGGATTTTGCACGGTGGTTTTGGCTCCCTGGTCTCTATTATGAGAGGGAATGAATAGTTTTGAGCTTGTAAAACAAAGAACAGTCAGGAATAAGAGTATTATGCAAAGCAGAAGCTTTGGTACAATACAATAAGGATTTATAGGGTTTCAATTTATAATCTGTTTGTAACCTTATTACACCCATGAAATGTCACATTCCAGGGACTAGATCAGAAGGATTTTTTTTTTTTCCTGATGAAATTGAATTTTGATGCAGTTTCAGGGTGTGAAAAGGCTTTTCCTTTCATTTTGTAGGCCCAAACCTGCAAGTTTTACTTACGTTGGTAATCCTTATTACGGTAAATAGGCGCATGAAAGTCAATGATATTACTCCCTAGCGTCAGGTTTGCTAACGTAAGGCTCTGAAGCACCAGCTCTGTATTATTAAGAATTTCTGACCTGAAAAAAAAGCCCCCATTAAAAGCTGGAATTCCACTAGTTATCTCCCATTGCACACAGCCCCGAAAAGCTGCCGAACAGGGGTCATTTGCAGAATACCAGCCATTTTCTTGCCACTTCAATGCTCACGACCAAACCTCAGTCTGTCCTGGCTCAGTTTCTCTTCTTTAAAAAAATGTTGCTATTATCATTCAGCTCCAAAATACCCTAAAACGAACAGAGGGAGCTGACCTAAATACTGATTTTGGTCTCAGAATGCCCTGGCTTTCAAGGAGGAAGCTTGGAGATGGATTTCAATTCCAGAGCAAAAAAAGCCACCAAATTCATTGAAATCAAGGCTATAGCTGGCTTGTCACCTCTACTGGGGAAGCTCAAAAACCAGAGGTAATATGGAGCACGACCTGCAGTGTCCTGGAAGCATAAATACTTACATGGCAAGAAATACCATTTAAAAAGAGAACACCTTAAATCATACACATTCTCATGTCATCAATGCACACCGTACGTCCTACTCCACATTGTAGCAGGTGACGTGAGGTGACACTGGAGATAGGATCTGCAATAAACTTAGTGTTCCATTTCCCACCTCCATGTACCTTTTAGAAGAAAGGAGTATCTAAGCATATCCTAACTGCTTGGTACCCCTTAGCTATCCAATACATAAACAAAGGCCAAATGTGCTCCGACAGTGGGCAAGTAGCAGAAGGAAAGCCTCTTCGTACTGGTGGAAGGAGTTAGGAATAACAGAAGAAGAATAACTGTCACCTGCAACTGAGATTGCATCTGAAAGCAAAGCGTTATTTGGTGGATACAGCAGGAAACACTGGGAAAATCTCCTGATTCTGCTTTTCTAACCTAGACACACTACCCTAGCACGTGCTAGGAGAAAACTGGGAAGAGACCATGCTGTATTGGTACAATGCGGTATGTTAGTGGCACAGCAGAAGGCATATCACCGTTACCAAAAATTGGTTTAATTTCAATTACACAACGAGGATTTCAGACTTTCATCTTCTCACAGTTATTTCCCTGTATTTTAAAAATTTTTTTTAAAAGGTGCTAAATAACTTGTCACTAAATCTCACCACCGACATCAAGCAGACGCAGCATTTAAGCCACCCTCCAACACAGCTCTCCCCCAGGACTGCGCTGCCACGGAGGTCCCTCAAACCGGCAGAGCCCCTGCGTTTGCTGGGCAGCAGACGGAGCACGGGGGGATGAAGAGGCACGGCAGCGGAACGGCTGCGAAACACGGCTCGTCCCGCAGCGGCACCAGGGAGGCGCAGAGCCCACGGGCTGCAGGGAGGCAACGTGCAGAGATCGTGGCCGGCAGTGACGGCCCGGAGAGCTCGGAGGCTGGTTTGGAAGGGGAAGTTTGCTGTCCCTGATCTGTGAGTCCTGCAGGGAACTCTTATTTATGTGTTTGGCATAGGGGATGTAGAGTTGTCCTTAAGACCCCATTCAGACAGAAACAGGAGGAGGGTTTCTGGTCATCAGGCCCATCCCTCGCTGTGGCAAGCCCCGTTACATGTAACCCTGGTCATGAACGGAGCAAGCCGCTTCTTCTAAGTATGTTGGTGATCTGCTGCCTCTGCTCCCAGCAGAAGGCTCTTCTAGGAACTCTGCTGGCTAGCAACTAATTTCTAGCTTCAATTTATTCACCGCCAATTTATATTCATTTGTTCTTGTGCCAACACTATCCTTTAGCTTAAACAGTTCTGCTTCCCTGCACGGTGCTTATTTCTCT